TGACCCCCCGCCGGAGGACAGCAGCCAAAAGCGAAGACCATGGCCACTGTGCTGGGGTCAAGCTTCCTCTGGGAATAGGGAGAGCTGGGGGGAAGGAGCAGCACCCCCCCGCCCCCGCCATGCTGCAGAAAGGGGCTGCAGGGCTGGGAGCTGCAGTGGGGGGGTCCCAGTGCCCTGCAGAGCCGTGAGCTGGAGCAGGGGGGGTCCCAGCACCCTGCAGGGCTGGGAGCTGCAGCGGGGGGGTCCCAGCACCCTGCAGAGTTGTGAGCTGGAGCAGGGGGGGTCCCAGTGCCCTGCAGAGCCATGAGCTGCAGCAGGGTGGGTGTCCTGGCAGACCACACTTTTTTGGGACTGAAAAGCCGAAAGGAAAAGAGAGAGGAGCAGGGCAGTGGGGGTGGCGGTGTTTCCATGCCCCTTGCAGAGCAGACTTTTTGCCGGGTGGTCTGGGAAGCATTTTCCAACACATGGGGCCAAGTGCTATAAATACGCCCGGCACTGTAATTGTGTAATGCGCCTCCTGCCCAGCATCGGGTCGCCGTGCTGTAGCCGGCACTGCTGCGCATGGCATGGGGCCATCCTGGCTCAGCAGACCCCCTGGGAGCCCCGCGTGCCCCCAAACCCCCTGTGCCGATAAACAGGAGAGCAGAGGGTGCTGTTCAACAAGGACTTTGGAGCCGGGGAAGATAAACAGGGGAAGGTTGTGAAAGCACTGCCGGGGGGGGGGGGGGGTGTCCATGCCTTGCCCTGACTCTGGGGCAGCTCCGAATATCCAGATGGAGTATTTTTAGCCCCTCCAGGATTCAGGAGCGCAGCCCTTGAACTGGCAAGAGACCCAGATGGGCTGTGCCCTGCCCCCAACCCTTGCTGTGCTACTGTCCAGCTTTATGAGAAAAACCTGAAGGCATCTGCAAGAATTCCTGCGGGAAAGATCCTTCCCACGTGGGGACTGGGAGGGGTGCCCACTGGCATTGGGTTCCCCAGCCCGGCATGGCCTGTCCCCTTGGCTGTCACCGTCACGGCATGACGTGCATTCCCAGAAAGGCGCAGTGGGATGGATGGGGTGCTCGGTGGCTCTCCTCCCCCTCCAGCTCTGGGAATAAGCACACCGTTGTGTGGCCAGGGTGAAAGACTGGGGTCCGAGAGCAGCCCCCAGCCCTCTCTGCTACTCTGCGTTTGCCGGCATAGAATGGGTCCCTTGTGTTGTGGTGGAGGTTGGCTGCATGTTGGCCCCGGGGCAGCTGATCGCTGGGTTTCCTTCAGAGGCATCTTTATCCAGGGGGGTTGCAGCGCTGCGGTTTGTGCCCTTTGATGTCACCAAAACTCCCCAGCGCGGCTGAGCCGCGGGCACCGGTTGCCGCTACCCTGAGCACGATCTGGGCACACATCTCCCCAGATGAGGATGCAACCAAACTCACTGCGAGGCCGGTTAATCCTCTTCTGAGGCAGATTACTTGCTGCAGCTGGGGATGCCAAATAAAAATCAGATTTGAATAAAGGTTGCACGCGCACCAGACTCTTGCAGGCAAAACTCCACTGCGGGAGCGCAGGCTCAGGCGCGGCTGCGGCGCTGAGCAGGTCAGCAAACAACAACAACAAAAAAGGGGAAAAAAAAGAAGAAATCGCGTTCCAGTGGCAGTATTTTTAAACAGCAGAGTCTGTGGAAGCCATAACTAAACCCAACCCAAGCCCTGCTTTGCACACGCCAAGATTTGCTGTGCTCAGCAGAGATGTGGAGCACAGAAATGCTGTTAAAACCCAGATACCAATCCAAGGGCGCAGGTGAAGGAGCCCCTCACCTCTTCCCAGCCGGCACAGCGTGGGGCTGATCCCAACCCTCCTCAGGAATGGCTGAGCCACTGCGGGAATGTCCTGGGTCCTCTGTGCTAAGCTGGACCCGCTGGGTCCCCGCTGGGCTCTCGGGATGGAGGAGAGCGTGCCTATGCTCTGGCAGCCCCAACACAAATAGGAAGCGAGCATGGAAAAATACAACCGGATTGCTCGCAGCCCCGCTAAGCTGGAGATGGGAAAAGGGCCCAACCTGCACAGAGGTGGAGGAGCCAGAGGCATGGCATGGAGCATCGCTCAGTGCTCACTGTGGGCAGGGGGGCTCTGAGCGCCAGGGACCAATTCTGCTGAGGCACAGCACTGGCAGAGTGACCCAGTTAATCCCAGTGCAGAGTGGGACCAGGCGCAGGGTGGAGCTGGGTGCCTGCAGGGTGATGAAACGAGGGGAGGGAGCGCTCCCACATCCTGACAGCCACGTGAGCCACATGGCTCCGGGCGATGGGAAGCGTGGGCAGAGCTGGTGAGCAGATCCAGCAGAAGAGCAATAGAGAAATATCCACATAATGTCTGGGTTTCAAGAATTTATTTCAAACAAAAATTCCCCAACAAAAAGTCATACAAAAAGAATAATCCAAGACAAGGGTGGTCATTATAAAAGTGTTCACAGATAGAAAAATCATCTGAACAATCCGCAGCGAGCAGAGCGCAGCCCCGGCGCGAAGGCTAAGGCACGCCTGGCTTTGGTTGTGCGCGGGGAAGCGAGCAGCCCCACAAGCAGGATTGTCTCAGTGAGGGAATGCAAAGGTCCTCAGCACCCAAACTCTGCTCAGGTAACGCCGGAGCGAGCGGGGTCAGCCCCTGGCACACATGCTCAAGCAGTCCTTGCTGCAACACCCACCTCACTGGTTCCCACATGGGTGAGCATGTTGCTGCTGTGTCCTCACCGTGCCGGGGCCACTGACCCCTTTACAGGCGCAGGATCAAGCCCATCCTGAGCAGGACTCCTGGCCCTGAAGGACTCATTTCAACTCCACATCTCCCATCAGCATTGGTGGCTGCCACCAGCCTCGGGCCAGGCTTCTTTCTCTTTTCCTTGGCCACCAGGGAGATGCCAGAGCCACAGCCCCAACACCCCCATGGTGGTACCAACAGTTTGGGTTGGTTTGGGGGTTGGTTTTCAGCCCTATTGTGGGGGAGGCATCAGCACATTGCGCAGATTTGGTGTTGACACACAGGAACCACCTTTCCTGCTCTTGGTAAACAGCACCAAAATGCTGCCGCAGATCATAAATTCATCCCCCAAGTCCTCTGCCCAGGTAACAGCCCATGGAAGCCTTCACAGTTTTGGTAGACTAGCTCAAGCCATTCCCCCTGCAGGCATCACCAGGCTGGCAGCAAAGATTACCAGCAGCCGACGAAGTCTCTGCTTCATCTGGCCAGCAAAAGGAACTGCAATCTCAGGTGAATTTATGGAATTGCACAGTGAGCTACTGCAGAAGGGCTGCACCTGCATCACCACAGGACTCAAACCCGAGCAAGATTAAAATATTCTCTAGTAATCCTGAGAAATACCTCCAAGCTCCTGTTTTCCATGACAGGAGTTGCCAGAGCATGGCCACTGCAGGCAAGGGGAGAGCAAATATCCCCCCTTTGAGCCCCCAAATCCTGGGGCAGTTATTAACCCTCCGCATCCTGCCCAACCACACATGGAGCCGCTCCGCACCACAGAGTCTCACGTGTTCTCCTACCATGCGCAAGTCCACAGCACCACGCTTGGTGTCGGTCTGTGGGACAGTCACGACAAGAGGAGTTGAGGGCAGCGAGCGGAGCCGGGGTCTCGGCGCTGCAGGAGCTCCGGTCTCACAGGCACCGCATCCCCATTTCCAGACCGAAGTGCTGCGAGGGTGCAAGCTTTCATCCCAAGGGATCGCTACACTGTCAGCTGTGCTTCTCTCAACAGGTCATGCAGCGTGGACGGATGTTGTCTGCAGGGGGGTTTGGATCAATCTGCAAAGCCAAGTTCAGAGTCAAAAATCTCAGTAGTGGGCACATCCCAGCCATCTCCACCAGCCCTCCCAGCCCAGGGGGATTTGTTACCTCCGAATACAGCGGAGGTGGTCGGAAACGGAACTCCTGGATGTAGGCAAAGAAGGGACCTTCCAGGATGCCGCCAAGTTCACTGCGGCATGGTGGACCCAGGCTCTGCTCAGCCTCTGGGCTGGACACAACTGCTGAGTATTCAGGGGGAGCTGAAGAGAGAAGAGATCAGGGAAAAGGAAACACTTTCCATTAATGGGGGACATGCACGTAAGAGAGCTTAAAATCCACTATTTCCCGAACCCTCCCAGTTCTCTGGCAAAGGAACCCAGGAGATGCAGCACCACAACCAAAAAATTAAGTAAAAAAGCAAAAAAACTGGTCCTGGAGCAAGAGACAAGGTTGAGAACTTGCCCTGACCCTCGCTACCCACAGCAGGTTGACCAGGGGGGTCTGCAGCACCCAGACAGATCCCGGGGAGAGGGAGACGCTCACCCTCTGGCTGCTCCGGGATGGTGCTCAGCCAGTCCAGGTTAACACTGTACTGGCTGCTGACGCTGGACGTGCGGCTCCCGAAGGGGTGCAGTGGGATGGTTCCGATGACAAGCGGCAGTTCAAGGAGCAGCTTGGACGTCCCAGGAATATCCACACAAACCTGCAGAGTCAGGAGACAGCAGGGAAGCTGTTGGTGTTTTCCCAGTCTGGAGGGGCAGATACCTCCCCAGAGCACTGGTTCAAGCTGGCCAAGAGGGAATTCTTGCAGTGGGATGCAAAGGGAGATGCAAATGCTCCTGCATGAGCCCTCAGGCTGTGCACAAGCAGCAAGGGGCCACGGGGAGAGCAGCCGCAGCTGCACAGGGGGAGCCCAAGACCTTTTACAAATCACCAGCCCCAAAATCTCTGCACCAGCCCAAAGCCAGCAGCACAGCTCTGGCGAGAAGGGGAAAATGCTCAACGCTGAGCTGAACTGCCTGCACTGCTCCCCGCGAGGTCCCTCACCTTCAGGGAGTATTCCACCTGGATGATGCGGCACTGGAGGATGGATGGACCCACCGGCGGGATCTTCAGCGCCCGCCCGTGCCACACTTCCCGCTTCCCGGCGGCAATGGAGTCACCGACGATGCTGGTCACCACTGACTTCTTCTGCTTCTTGGTGCCCCGAGCAATGAAAGTCTGAGTCTGGATGATGGCAGCCTTGGGCACCACCGCTCGGCTTGTGCAGTTGTCAATCTCAGCAAAGATAGGGATGACCTCACCTACCAAAACAGACGCATACACTGGAGGAGGGGAGATGGAGCCTGGTCCTGCCTTAAGGAATTCCTGCAGAGGATCACTGAGGGTTGCTCAGGTATCCGGCACCAGAGGCACAAGGTTTAATCTGGTGGGAGCGTGTCCTGCGGAGCTGCCCACATTGGGTGCACACGCTAAATCTGACTTCAATTTGTGCCAGAAGTGAAGAGCCCAGGTCACAGTAACCCTAAATCCTCTCCCACTGGGGTCTACCCCACGGCCCGTGGAGGTTCAAGGGCCGCCAGCACGTCGGTCTCACCTGGGGTGTAGCCTTTTCGGTCAATCTTGGCAGTCACAGAAACCTGGCCACGATTGCAGTACCAGGCACGAGCAAGTTTCTCTTTAGCACCTGCCTGGGGAGCCTGGAGAAAGGGAAATATTTAAGCTATTTAGCAAGAAAGGATGAAACTCAAAGCAAACACCTCCCTGGTGCTGAGAACCTGCCAGGGAGCATCAGCAACTTCTTAGGAATCTGATGCAAGATGCTTTTGCAATGCACTGAAGTTTCCAAAAACTAAGAGACACAGATGACCTGTGCCCAGTCCAGGTAACACTGGAGGGCACAAGTTACGGGGGGGGCAAATATTCCCTCTGGAAATCAGGCCTGCATTGTAAGGCTGGAGGGGAGGCAGGCACCCTCCCCATGGGCTTCCCAGGGAAGTTCTGGATGGCGCTGCCCCGAGGCGGAGCAGGGGGAGCTCACCAGCAGCGCAGGCGTGTTGATGTCGATGGGTTCAATCACTGTGAACTCCTTCTTCACCTTCTTCACTGTCGACCAGGGTCGGTGCAGTTTGGCTTTCACCCAGTAGCGCACGTTGCCGTGCTTTCCCTCGAAAGAGGTAGCCAAGGTCCTGTGTTGGAGCAATAAGCAATTTAAAAGGGCTTTGCTTGAAGAATCTCGTTTTTCAGGTGCCCTGTGTCCCGTCCCTGCCCACCCCACCCCGGACCTGTGTCATAGACCAAGCGGCTCCTCTCCCCTTTTTCATTAAGGCAAGAAAAAATGTCAACTTACTCGGGGAGCTGGAAGGTGAAGGGGAACTCGTGCCTTCCTGCCTGCAGGACAGTGACTTCACCATTGTCTGTGGGCAAAACAGATTTAAGACGTTTATCTCCCTCCTGCAGAACTTCCTCCCTGGGCAAATGGGTGGCAGAAATGTACAGTTCACAGCAAACGAGCAGCAAGATGGCACAGGAATATTTTTGCTGGGGTTAAACCACAGTGGCAGTCACACAGTGGCAGTCACACAGCTGCGACACGAGAGCTGGGCACGTCCCGCGGGTGCCCAGCACTGCCTGCTTTCCACGTGTCTCCAGGCACGCACGACCCAGGGGCACCTCCTCAGAGAGTCAGGCAGCTTCCCAGGGTGGGCTCTGCTTCACCCTGCACCGTGGCTCGGTGGTGAGAGCCCAGAGGTGCCCTCTGGAAGGGTGGCCAGCCCATTCCCAGGGGCAGCCAAGCCCCCCCAGGGTTTGCACCCCCATCCTGCCTGCATTGCACAGAGCGGCTGGCATTGGAAGGGACCTCTGGGGATCATCTCCAACCCCCCTGCTCACAGCAAGCTCCTGAACCTCCACAGGAGTTTTCCAACGCTGCTTCCCTGCCAGGGATCACCCACAGCAAAGAGGCAGTCTTGTGTGGGGCCAGTCCCTAGCCAGGGTGCCCCGTACAGTACCCAGGACCCCAGGGTGCACTCAGGATTTGAGGTGTCTGGAGGCGACCTATGCACCCAGTCCCCAGAACTCCCAGTCTGTAAGGCTTTGCCACGCACCCAGATTTCAGCTGGCTGGGGTGCCTGGGGCACCCAGCAGCCAGGGCATCCCAGATTTCAGCTGGTTGGGGTGCCTGGGGCACCAGCAGCTGGGGTATCCCAGGCTGCCCCACACACCCACAATTTCAGCCCCGGGGTCTCCGGTGCACCCACATCCCCACTCTTGGAGTCGGCCGGTGCATCGGAGCGCCCTGGGGGTGCCCCACCCGGGGGTGCCGTACCGGGGGAGGGTGCCACACCCGGGGGTGCCGTACCGGGGGGTGCCGTGCCCGGGGGGAGGGTGCCGGACCTGGGGGTGCCAGCAGCGTGTCG